CAACAATAAAAACTAACACCATAACTAAAAATAAAAAACTAAAACTAAACAACTAACACTATAACAACTAACACCATAAAAACTAACACTATAACAACTAACAATATAACAACTAACACTATAACAACTAACACTATAACAACTAACAATATAACAACTAACACCATAACAACTAACACTATAACAACTACACTTAAAAACTAACACCATAAAAACTAACACTATAACAACTAAAAAAAATATAAAAAACTAACACATAACAACTAAAAAAAACCAAACAATATAACAAATAAAACTATAACAACTAACAATAAACAACTAACAATATAACAACAACAAAATAACAAATAACACTATAACAACACCTAAACAAATAAAAAAAACAACTAACACATAACAACTAACAATATAACAACTAAAAACCATAAAAACTAACATTTAAAAAACTAACAATAAAAACAACTAACAAATAAAAATAACACATAACAACTAACAATAAATAAAAAAACTAACAATATAACAACAACACCATAAAAACTAACAAATAACAAAAACAATATAACAACTAACACTATAACAAAAAACCTAAAACAACTAACAATAAACAACTAACACCATAAAACTAACAATATAACAACAACACCATAACAACTAACAATAAACCAACTAACACAACCAAATAAAACTATAACAACTAACACCCCCAATAACTAAAAAAACCCCATAACAACAACAATAAAAACAACAAACAAATAAAAAAACAACTAACACTTAAAAAAAAAACCCTTTTAAAACAACATAACAACTAACATAAACAACTAAAAATATAAAAAAAAAAAAACTAACACTATAACAAAACAAACAACTAAACAACTAACAAATAAAAAACTAACATATAACAAAAACAATATAACAACAACACCATAAAACTAACAATATAACAAATAACATATAAAACAACCCCAACAAAAAATAAAAAACAACAATAAAAACTAAAACATAAAAACTAACAATAAAACAAATAACAATAACAACTAACCCAAAAAAAAACAACACATAACAACAACAATATAACAACTAAAACCATAAAAATAACATATAAAAAACTAACAATATAAAAACTAACACAAAAAAACTAACAATCATAACAACTAACAATTAACAACTAAAAATATAAAACTAACATAAACAACTAACATAAACAACTAACAATAAAAAAAAACACTATAACAAATAACAAAAACAAATAAACCATAACAACTAACAATATAACAACAACCTATAAAAACTAACATTAACAACTAACAATATAAAACCTAACACCCTAACAATAACAATAACAACAAAACTAAAAACAACTAACAAATAAAAAACAACTAAAAAAAAAACAACTAACAAAAAAACTAACATTAAAACAAAAAATAACAACAACAATAAACAACTAACACTATAAAAACTAACAATAAAACAAAAACATAAAAAAACTAAACAATATAACAAACTAACAATAAACAACTAACACATAACAACAACATATAAACAACTAAAAACCAAACAAAAAAACCCCAACAAACTAAACAACTAACACTAAAAACTAACACTATAAACAACAAAAAACTAACAACCTAACAAATAACAACTAAACAAACAACTAACACTTAACAACTAACAAATAACAACTAACAAAAAAACAACAATAAACTTCCAACCAACACAAAAAACAACACTATAACAACTCAAATAAAAATAACATAAACAACTAACCAAACAACTAACATAAACAACTAAACTAAAAAAATAACACATAACAACAACAAAAACAACTAACACCATAACAACTAACAAAAACAATAACACATAACACCCAACACAAACAAACAACATAACAAAAACACATAAAAAAAAACCATAACAAATACAAAAACAACTAACACAAAAAACAACAACAAAAAATAAAAAAACTAACCATAAAAAACTAACACTATAACAACTAACAATAAACAACTAACACTATAACCACAACAAAATAACAACTAAAAAAAATAAAAAACTAACAAAATAACAACAAAAACTATAACCCAAAAACATAAAAACAACAAAACAAAAACCAAAACAACAACAAAACAAACTAACACTAAAAAACAACTAAACCATAAAAAACTAACAAATAAAAACTAACACTAAACCTAACCTTAAAAACAACAAAACAAATAACCCAAAAACAACAACACTTAAAAAAAACACAAAAAACCCCCAACCAAAAAACAAAAACAAAAAAAAACAACAAACATTTAACAACAACCCAAACAAAAACCATAAACCAACAAAAAAACCCAAAAAACACATAACAAAAACACTTAACAACTCACCCAAAAAATAAAAACTAACACTTAACAATAACCCCATAACAACAAAAAAAACAAAAACTAACAACAACAAAAAAACTAAAACCAAAAAACCCAACAAAAACAAATAAAAAAAACAACTAAAAACCAAACCCAAAAACCCAAACAACTAAAACCAAACAACTAACCTAAAAAAAACAAACAAAAACCCAACCCCCTAACACAAACCAAAACAAAAAACCACATAACAAAAAACAAAAAAAACCATAAAACTAAC